AAGTATAATAGGCATGTATGTAAGTATAATAGGCATGTATGTAAGTATAATAGGCATGTATGTAAGTATAAGCTTGTATGCAATTATAATAAGCATGTAAGTATAAGCTTGTAAGTATAATAATTTTGTACATGTATAAGTATAAGCATGTATGTATCATAAGCATGTATGAAAGTATAATAGGCATGTATGGAAGTATAATAAGCATGTATGGAAGTATAATAAGCATGCATGTAAATATACTAGTGAGGAGACCATCAAAACCAAAACTATTACACAGGGAGCAAGTCATAATTTTCTCAATTGTTTTCATTGTTTCACAATCTCTTATAATCAATGTAATACAAAGCCTAAATTACTTATGCAGTACCAACATATGGAGATATGTAATAGGCATAAATATCAGTTATAGCTACAAAATGAATTCTTTGTCTTTCAGAATTTCATATTCCCCTCTGTCTATGTGCTGTTTGCATATTCATAAATATAAACATCCTAATATCTTTGTGTGTTCATTTGGTAATTTTGACTCAGTATTAAATACAAATGTAAATGAATTCAAAAATATGAAAAATTGATAAAGAACGCAGTTGCTTACAAAAATACAAAATATTATAAACATAGATGAACCAAGAAGAACACAAACTTACTCTTTGACCGCACATATGAAGACAAGATCTGCACCAATAACTGATAGTCTTTGGAATAGTATAGTTCCTTTACTTGCATAATTTAGATTATCTACAATAAGCATGGCAGGGTCAAATAACTCGGCTCCATATGACAGAGCACATTCAAACCATGCAAAAAATGGTGGGTAATCTAGCGTCCACTCAGATGTTTCCTACAAGGAAAAAAAATATATTTTTTCATATTTTCACATAATTTATTATCAAAGATTTCTAATCACCATGGCGATCTTTAATGGTATCCAGAGATTTTAAAAAGAACTATTTTGGTGAATGGATGAAAAGATTAAAGCAGTACTTGTAACTGACCATTTGATATCAAACCACTCTGCCTGATGTGCACAAATGTATTTATCTAAAGCGAGTAAAAATAGTATTTTTATGCACATGTATTAAATATATATATATATATATATATATATATATATATATATATATATTTTAAATTGAAAATAATCATTTCATTCATGAAGTACTTACGTCATAATACCACTTTGACTCAGGTAAGCTATGAGTAATTGCTAACCAATTTCTGTGAACTTCAAAATCTGTAGAACGACTAAATAGAAACATACAAGACTGCATTGATTAATCAGCACTGTCATAAAAACTGTGCATGTACGTATTGTACGATTCTATCATGGTTTTGCTTTTCTACATGCTATACACATTTCAAAACATAAATATTGCTATGGTTAGGGTTCTGTACATAATAGTATGTATATTTCATCATCGTAATTATGAATAAGTGACACATATAATTTTGCAAATTCTTAGAATTTACTAGCATCTCTGCAGATGCACAACTGGTTTAGCAGCAGATGTCTGAATACTGGCAGCTATATGCGTAATATATTACATTTGCTGTTGTTGTAACAATCCCCTATATTTACATGCACAGTATTAGTTCTACCCAATACAGGACCTTCACTATGGAAAAACTGCATTTACCAAAATTAAATACATCCCGGTTACTAGTAACCTTGATTTAGTGGACACACATGGAAAATGAATGAAGATAGCAATATATGTATAAGCGATAGACCATTTTCCGTTCACTGCGAGAATCATGCGTTATGCGTGAAATCGAACGCAAAAACAGGACAAACAAAGGTCATAGCGTCGTAGTGGCGTTAAACATCGCATGGGATTTGACAAACGCGAAAGTATTTTGGGGGGCATTTTCATGCTTAATAATGTGCTGTACACATTTGATGATATACAATTTTGATTAAGTAAGGGTATTCAAAAGCAATATTCCTCTGTCGAAGATCGGCCGGTCGATGTGAGCTACGAAATTTTGAAATTCAAGTTCAAAGTCAAATCGTTCGATTTTTGCATTAGATGTTCGACACGCGTCTTTCATGCATCTCGTGAGATCTCGCAATTGTACGCAAAATCACCTATTGACGTCATAGTGGTTGGACACGCTTCAAACTGAAGTCAATGGATAATTAGCATATCTAACAATAAAGTTTCCTAACCATTCTTCTAGTAACCGTGAACATATACATTAAGAATTTACAGCTTTCATAACCATGTACAGAGATAACAATCTAATGAGAAGTGACCTCTCACGATTTGCAAAGATTATTCCTCCATTATTTAAAACCCCAAAATACTTTTCTACATATCAATTAACACTACCGATACTTTCTGGAAGTCTTGAAAGTCTATCCAAAAATGCTTTGCTAATCTGCACTCACACAGAAAGTTTTCCAAAGTTTTATTTTCGATGACAATGAACATAATTATATGTTAGTTGTACGGTGAAGAATTTTCGCAAACTCACTAATTTTGATTTGTTTTTGTTTATATTAACAGGTACCACTACCACTGAATAACCATAGAGGTAATTACAATGGAATAACTCAAGGCCCCGGATATCTGTATGCGATTGGAGTTCAAAGGTCAAATTGGATCATCTAGATGAGACGATAATATGTGAACGAATTATATTACACATATCACTACACCACGGTTACTAAAAAAAGATCCGGGATTGAATTACGGTAACCTACAAGAAAACTATGCCAACACTATTCGGTGTGTTCCCGTATGCACGGTCAATCATTGAGACCATGACAGATGGTTCTGATTCAATGTTCGTCTGCGAATGATTGGCGTTTGTAAATATTACTAGTACGTGAATGTGACAGATAAGTACAATATCTACGCAGACCTGCCGGAAAAATGATCTCAATAGAATATATACTTACTATGTAGGCATCAGCAAAAGTTTAATGCAAGTCACAACTGCCACGACAGGCCAAAAGTAAAGGCCAACAGGACTACAATCAGCATCCATTTTGGCTGAAAATTACATCAAGAAGCGCCCTCTACAAATTAAAAAATCAGTGAAGTACGTTGGTGGCGCCCTTTACCAAGCACAGCTTGGTTTTCTTCAGGGCTCATACCACTAATTTAATTTCCATAGACGACAATGTTAACATATGACGAGATTGCTATATGAAAATGATGAAGAAAGTTGAAAACATGGCTCAAAAATGGGAAATCAACATGCCAGTAAACAACCATATGTTGGCCAGCTCAAACTCTTACAAATCTCAGGTAAACAAGACGCACCTACTGTATTTGGATTGCACCTAGAGAAATCACTGGAAAAACACCAAGATTAGAACATCCGAATACACACAGAATAAACCCACAGGCACACAGTCGCTAAGTAGTAAACAAAAGACCACATGTTGGTCTCATCTTTGACCCAGGTGATTACGCCCTCAAACAGGGAGCACCTGGGAATAAACAAATTTAAAAAATTTCATTGGTTCTTTCAAGGCATTTAAATTGCCGGCTACGAGCAGCCATTGGTTGATTAGTGGTGTGAGACCTTCAACGACTATATGCGAATGATTACCGGTAGCTACGTAACAAGTGTAAACAAATATCACAAACAATGTCCCAAAATGGAGATGAGTCAACTCAGAGGTGTAATTGAACAACTTTCAAAAAGTTATTCTGCAGACATGTTCTGGACCCTGATAAACATGTATTAACTTGTATGTTAGATTCCAATCAAAACATGAAGTGTAATTATTCCAGAATAACATACAAAATTAAAAACAATGGCATGTGAAGATTTCCAAAAAAAGTAAAATAGGTAGGTTTAAACCCTGCATGGACATACATAATAGTAACTGTGTTTGTGGGATGGACTGGGGTGTGGTGATGGTGGGGAGGGGAGGTACTGATCTTTAATCTTGAATTTATAAAAACATTTGTACATATAAATGTACTTGTGTATTGTCATTGTCAGATAACAGTCCACAAATTGTAATTAATAAGTTTATTTTTGTCATCAAAGAAATATTGTACTAACTTACTTTGTTATCTACAATGTATACAATATAAATAAAAAATGTGTGATGTGTAACCTCTCTAACTGAAAAATATGCTGAACAGAGATAATTTATTGACTTGTATACCTTCCCATTTTTACACTGCAACACACTGTGTTTTCAGCATCCTTTGCATAACACTCCCAGTATATGCCACTACTTTATGACACCGTGATTTATAGAGATATGCTTAAAGATGTATTACGACAAGATTTTATTTTTACAAAAATCTAATTCATGGTTGGAGTCCGAAGATCCATAATAGTCTGCAGTCACGTGTAGCTTGTATTTACATGTAGTGAACAGTTATTCAACATACTGTATAATACTTAATTTTCGCTTGGAATTAATGTTTGCTATTTTCGCTGAAGGAATGATTCAGTGAAAATAAAATCCCTATATTTTACCTTCAACTCGTCTAAAATCAGTGAAAATAAATTTCATACAAAACACCCAAAAAGACTTTTCAGTGAAAATAAATTCCAGCTAAAATAAAGTATTATACAGTATTATTTTCAGCTGTATTTTGTTAAAGCAACAGAAGTTGTCATCTACGCTGCAGACAGATGGCCATAGCACATTGTTGTTTATTAATATGGGCATACCCATGAGCCATTTGTAGTGTGTGTTGTTATGGTCGCTTAGAACACGATTCCCACACATGTGACAACCCTTCCACTTTAATCACTAATATGATGTGATTAAATATATCAGCTGTGAGGTATGTAATAAAACTATTACAGTAACTAACAAAATATATATAAAATAGTATTTTCATATGAAACGCAAATATGAAAATGGAATATTGAACATGGCAGAAATATACATATAAACAAGTAAGTTGCAATACAAATATAAAATAACATATTACTAGGTGGACATTGTTCAAATACATTGCTTATAAACATGTAAATTTCATTAAAAAAATTATATTTTATACATAAAATTTTACAATTTTACAGCAGAGATTTATTCAGATAGTCAGGAACATGGCTTGCAGCTTTGCAAAACACATAGGGTTTGCTTTGTTCTGGACTTGATAGCTCCGTTTGCTTTGTTCTGGACTTGATAGCTCCGTTTGCTTTGTTCTGGACTTGATAGCTCCGTTTGCTTGGTTCTGGACATGTTGAGTGTGATGCAGAGGGAAATGCTGTGTACCTGTCACTCAGTTTTGAGAGTGAGAATATGTGAGTGGAATAATCTAAACTGGGAATGCATCAACAGAACAGCATGGTTAAGTCTATATTATACAAAAAGCAAAGAGGTTTTCCAAGTTGCAAGCCATATTACTAATTGCTTGCTCAATTAATTTTCTAGAACTCTGGAACACTTGGGTTTGATATATCAATTTACTTTTCAAACATTGATACTAAATATATACCAGATAGGTAAAGAAAGCTGAAATATTCTTTACAACTGGTGCTATCTTTTATTGTTAATGAGTTGATGTACGCTCTGTTCTGTCTTGCGACATTTCTTCAGTTTGTTGTCTTGTGATTTTATCATCATTTCCATTGCTATAAAAATGAGAGTAACAATTAAAATGTCATTTAACATACAATCAGTATTTCAAGTACTATCAAAGCATATATTTAATATGTCTCTATTAAAGATGAACTTCTAATAAAGCACAGATGGCACATGCACATATATGAATATCATAAACAAATATTAGTTCACTGCTAGAAAAGTTCACTTTTTGATAGTGCTTGAAAGGGAAAATTATGCAAGTCTTCAATGCATTTTTCTTAGATTCAATAATTTGTTTTGCACGAATAATACAGGTACTGTGGAAAGAGTGGCAAATAAACTAAATATTCCTTTAAAAGCTCACCTTTGTTTTCTTTTTGTAACTGACCTCCCATTCTACTGAGGTCTTTCATCTTCAACTCAAGTCGTTTAATGCAATCAGCATTTTCATCTTTTGGGGTTTCACTGGATCCTACAAGGTAAAAAATACACAAGATGGTTGCTGCTGACATACTTTTGAGATTTTCAACAGTTTTGTTAAATTATTCCCTATTTGAAAGTAACAAGAGAAAACTTGGGGTACCCAAATTACTTTCTGAATTATACTTATCCATTTATTTATTCATTTATTTTTTCATTCAAGAAGTCTAGCAACGATTTTTTAACATGTTTTCAACAAACCTTTCTTTTTCTTTTTGGTTCCTTTTTTCTTTGTCACATGATCACTAAGAGTGACTGTACTCGGATCACTGCTGACTAGACTCTCTGTTTCAGTTATCTCAGAATTACTTGTTTCGGTTGTCATGTCAACAGGTCTATGTCTGGGATGATCCTCAAATGACGTCAACAGATCACTGACAGGAGAAGTTGGTCTCATTGATGTGTTTGTTGGACTGTTGTAAGTAGCTGATGAGAATGATACAGTCGGCTGCTGACGATGCTGTGGTGCTCTGGTTTTCAATACAGGTGGTGGCGGTGGTGGTGCAAAAGGCGGACTGTCATAACCTGATAGAAGAATATCGACGTATGGTGTAAGTATTTACAACAAAGTTAAAGCTTGATCAAAAATGATAAAACTGCATTTCAAAATTCTTACACCCTGGATCTTTTGGGGAGACATTTCTTTTTTAGAAGATGTTGGTTGTAATTAATAATTAACAGCCATTTTGTCAGTTTTACTATGTGCTAAAATTGGTTTATATAGAGGACATATCCTAACCTCACGACTAAACTCAAAATTATATTCGAGATATTGTGACAGTAAGAAATCATTTCAGTCTTTTAAAAAATATCAGAAAAAAACTCTTGTGTGTTGAGGGTAATGGAGGCATGAAAAATTTCAAAATTAATTTTAATTAAAAATTAAAAAACTATGTACCCACATGTAGATAGAGCATTACACCACATATGGCATCAAGCATACTGTATACATCAATCAGACTCATAATTCTTCTGAAATCAATGACCAACTCATAATGCCCACTGAAAATCATTGCAAGTCTAAAAAGTTGAATTCAGTAAATGTTTTACCTGTTGTAAATGTTGTATAGTTAGATGACAATGTATGAGCTGGTTGGCTGTATGTTGTACCAGTCAGGGTGGATGGAACACTCATACCAGTATAAGCTGTAGTACCTGAATAATAGGATGTAGTAGTTTCACTTGGTGAAAACGATGTACTCTGATCAGCTGCAATATCTGTGTAACTATCACCTTCTGTTACCTGAGATTTAACACTGCAAAAAAACATATAATTAAGAGAGACTGAGCAAAACTCAAATTATAATTCTACTGAGCACGTCACTGAGCAAATGGTGATGTACTGCGAGAATGAAATCTCCATTGATTTTATCATGGAAGAATATGACCTCGTAGGAATTTCACTGAAATGAGTTTTTGGAAAAATTGAAAATTTTAGAATTCATAACAGTTATTTTTTCAGTGCAAGTCACTGAATAAAATTTAAAATACTTTTGCCTTAGAGTGTAATACTGTGACAGAACCCCACACCCTGCCCGTGGCTTTCATTGCGTATGGAAGTTATTTTCATGAGTGATGCGGTGTATCCTGCGGCCGTACTTTCTTGAGCGAAGCGAGTGAAAGTACAGCAGAATACACCAAATCTCAAGTGGGGTTCTTTTATTATTACACATGTTCCATGTTTGATTATTTCATATTAAAGAAAGAACGTGCAACAAACCGGGATGGAATTTAGGTCGGATAACCCATTGCTCATTAATATGTTCAAATACTGAGTATAGTGTTACGCGCCAATGGAAATACAATGTTCATTTGCATATCGACCGTGAAAATACCAAAGACATTATTGCATTGGTAATATGCAAATTCGTTTTTGTCAAAATGCCTAAAAGTACCATTACTGTTGTTCAAATTTCATTCCACTCGGCAAGAAAATTCATTTACCCTAAGAGAAAAATATCGTACTTCTTAAATATTGTTTATTTCTGCTAAGTTTCGAAAAACGCTACTCCTGAAAGGACTACTTTGTTTGCTTTCAAACTCATTTGCATATGAGGTGTGGAAATACCGATTTTGATTTCAGGGACGAATCAAAATAAACTGCAGTACATATGTAATAATAATAATAACAAAATGGATATTTCGTCATTTCACAAAGAAATTAAATCTCATGTAAATCACAAAGTTGATTAGAGACCCTATGATTATTTTTCAGTATTCTTACATATTTTTCTATAACTTTGCACCAAATGGTCATAATTTCCTATTGGCTATATGTCTGCATCAACATTTTTTTAAAAATAGTTACTGTAAGTAAACTATTCAAATATGATTATCAAAATGAATATCATAAAGACATGAATGTTTTTATGAAAATTTATCAATTTCTATCAATCTATAAAATATGTATAAGTAAAACTGTATTAATATTCACTGTAACAGTGCAACAAAATATTCAGAATAAATCTGATTATAACATAACATACCTGTTTGTAGTTACCTCTGGATGGCTTGCTAGTTTAGTTGGAGGAGAGTGTGTTTGTTGAGGTGTTGTGGTTACCTGACCTTGTAAAATAAGAGTCCTCATATCATTCAATAACTGCTTTAAATCTTGACCTACATCACTGAAGACAGCTAGGTTATGGATATGATCCTAATGAAAAACAAGTGAAGTCAGAAAGTTGTATTATTGGCAAAACTTAGTTGAAAGCACTTTTCAATTTTGAGTACCTTGGCCAAAAAACAAATCTGAAAGTTATGGCATTCGTGAGTTATATACTAATCAAACCTGACACATCGCGCCATTCATCAACTAAAATATTATATCTCTTCACTACAATAAATCTAGTTCGGAAGCATGCTAAACATAACTAACATAGTACAAGATTTTTGAACTTCACTCAAATGCAGTTGTTACATGAGTAAAACAGTTTTCCTATAAATTCAAAAGAAAGGGACTTAATGAAACAACTTCGCTGAACGAAAAATCTTGCATGTGATGAGGACAGCTCGGTGATGTTCGGTTATTGACAAGGACGTACATGTATATCTTGCAAATTTGCAAATACCATGGATGTCATGGTTTCCAATCATGTTGTTTTTGAATGACTTTAATTACATAATCTAATGCATTATTTATATCATTCGAGTCAAACAAACAAGTATTTATAGTTGTGGTGATGTTGAAATTTTTCTGAGAAGGATATGTTCGGGAAGCAAACTTTTTAGTGATTCACAAAAAAAAAATCACTAAAAGTGGCAATGATCAAAATATGGAAGTCTAGTCACATTGAATCTGAACAGTGTGCTATGTTTTGAGTAAATCAACCCAATCATGATTAATGCAATAATTTCATGCATACTTTTCAGGCAACAATAGTTATATGGTCAATAGTTCCCTGCGTGGATATAGATTTTGATTTGTCACTGTCATTATTGACTTTCGTTATCGTCAACAAAACATGTGCTGTAAATTAATTTGATGCTAACTGTCAATGGCTAAAGACTTGTAACATCAACTGTCCTTAGTGAATGCACTCCAGGCGAGAATCCGGAGCCAGTAACAACATATGACAATGCAAAAGGTAGAAAATCTACTTCATTCATTCATTTAGCATCTACGGTTGTATCCATTTAATTTAATTAGTCCAGTTACTTTGTAGAAAAATTTCTCCTAGGCTTGAAGAAGAAAGGTACCCCCAACATGACATGATGGAATGATACAAGCTTGTTACTCACCTCATTGTGTCTGTTTGGTTCCTCCCCACCAACTACAGATGTCTGTGTTGTCTTAGTAGTTCTGTCTTGTATCATAGGCATTATGGAAGATGAAAAGAGTGAACTCACACCACTGATGGGTTGGGTTGAGTTATTTGGTTTCCCATTCATTTGTGTGGATGTTTCTATTGATACATTGGTGCTGATGTTGGGAGAACGTTTAGTTTTTGGAACTGTCTTAGTCTTTGTAACAGCTGTGTGCTTTACCTCCTGTGGGAATGACAGAAACATGTTTATAGCTGTGTGGTTTGGTAAGAACACACTTTACTACAGGTATGTATGACATCTAATGATGAGAATGTTACCACAGTACAAATAAGAATAGTGTATACCTCGGTATATCAAATCTACATACATGGTAAAAAAGCTTATTCGCCCAAATTAGTAAAACCCTCTGAACTCTGAAATATTATTTTAGTAACTTGACTTTTTAAAAGCATTTTGCCGTATTTTGGGACAGTACCATTTAAATTGTTCTTAGCGTTAAATTTGAAGAAAAATCATCAACTGCCCTCAGTGTTGAATTTGAAGAAAATCATAAACTGCCCTCAGTGTTGAATTTGAAGAAAATCATCAACTGCCCTCAGTGTTGAATTTGAAGAAAATCATCAACTGCCCTCAGTGCTGAATTTGAAGAAAATCATCAACTGCCCTCAGTGTTGAATTTGAAGAAAATCATAAACTGCTCTCAGTGTTGAATCTGAAGAAAAATCATCAACTGCCCTCAGTGTTGAATTTGAAGAAAAATCATCAACTGCCCTCAGTGTTGAATTTGAAGAACAATCATCAACTGCCCTCAGTGTTGAATATGAAGAAAAATCATCAACTGCCCTCAGTGTTGAATATGAAGAAAAATCATAAACTGCCCTCAGTGTTGAATATTGGGAAAAGTTACTAGCCAATAATATATATATAAAGCAAGCACAATAGCATGTGAAAAGCCCCAAACACAAGAATATGGTATTATTTCAAAAACTACTCTTGATATGAAGTAAGAGAATATACCTTGAGTTCAAGTTGATGATTCAACCTCAGCCTGGCAATGTCTTGTTCCTGTTGTTCCACTAAAGCCTGTGCAGCTGCATGTTTCACTGCAGCCTTAAATACCAAACAAATACACAATATAAGCTTTTAATGTTACAATACTTCTATTACCGTACTATGAATGCATTGCACAATGCAGAAATATATGCATTTGATATCGAAGACCAGGCAATATAGTGTAGCATTACCTGAGTGCCTCAGGCTAGCTTTACTTGCCAAGGAAAGATCCTACTTGGCACAATCCTTACATACTTCATCATTGCACACATTAAATTCTTTCTAAATACACTATATATATACTATAATGCTTCACAAGATTTATTTGGTGTCATCACTACTATACTTCTATCTTCCTCATAATTTTCTCTGAATCATTCTCCATCTCCCATACTAATCCACCCTGTCTTTGCAGCCATGTTAGAATCTGGTTAATGAATGACAACTGCCTTATATGGGGTTTTGACATCATTCAGCACATGCCTGATAACCTCAAAACCCTGTATAGGTTTGCATGTCATTCTATCACTTACACATTTATATTCTGACTTACTTTTTCCAACGCTGCATCAAGTTTATTTACAAGTCTTTTTTGTTCTTTATTTTGGTCTACAAAACACTGCACTTCTTCTATTAGCTTCTCATTCTGTGATGTCATCTTCCACAGTTTGCAAGTAAGTTTGTCTCTCTCGTCTTTATAACAACTTTTCTCCTACAAATATTGAAACAAACACTAATTCAATCATTTTATAGTATGTGATGTAGTCCTTAGATAATGTACAGTTTTTTGTAGACATTATATTTGTATGGCAGTAATCAGTCAATATTGTGGCTGATACTAAAATAGTAAAATTAAAAAAAAAAAATAGGTTTTTTTAGCAGTACACATTCATCAATAGCGTACACAAATCACATTATGCGTTTATTGTGCACTGGGTTATTGTCACCACCATATTGTTTTGAATACCAACATTGACAGCTCAGTTGCTGGTTTTCAGGTAAAAATAATAAAAAAAGAACCAAATAAACTAAAAATAAGAATATAATTTATTTTGAATTACTTCATGACAGAGTATTTGATTATGATCATTCAGTGTAGAATGATACAGATTTGTTGAATACATCCTGTCTCGTATGTTATGATCGATTAGTGTAGTGACCCTAACACATCCACCCACTTAGGAAATAAACTTTCTTCTTTAAAAAGAACTCAGAAATCATCAATTAGAACTAGCTGGTTCAAATCCACATCAACAGGAGATATCAAACTAATACTGAGTGGCATGTTGAAAATACAACTGCCTTTCAATTTATTTTCATACAATTGGATAAATGGTTGTATGTCAAATGGAAAACTTATCCCATCATATTAAACATCAATGTGGCATGTTCTTGACAACTAACTGATTACTATTCAGCAGCAGCCATAGCATTATTATAACGAGAGAACAGTCCAAACCAGTATTACCTTGAGAGTGGTTTCCAGACATTCTTCCATCCAACGAAGTTTAGTCTGTAGTGAATCAATTTGTCCACGTTTGGCAGTTACTTGTTTTTGCATAGTCTCAGCAACCTTCACAGCTGAAATGAGACAAAATGTTACGTAATATGAGACACAGTATGCGGCCACGTTGACCTTAGCTACACATTGGCAGATATACTCCTGCTAAACAGTCTTTGCTGTATCACTTGTACTACCATATTTTCTCTATCAATAGTGCATGCGTTCACATTACATGTACATGACAAAAGGTGTCTAAGATCAAATTAAGTCATATTTTTAATAATCCAGCACATGCAACTGATGGCTTACAAGATTTCTATTGGTGATACGCTGCTAATAGAGCAACTTTATTAAATCACTCCTTATTTGGAATTTACCAAATAAGGTAAGATGCAAATATTCTATTTAATACACGAATCCACAGACAAAAACATGAGGATTCAGACAAGTGGCAAGTGTTAAAATAAGTAGATAGTTACCCTTATCATCTACAGCATCCCTGGCATTAAATGCACTACGTGTCAAGTTCAATTCGTGTTCTAATGAGTGTAATCTATTGACCATCATTTTTCTCTCTTTCTCACTGCTACTGTGTACTTGATCTAAGCTATCCTTCAGGTGATCATTGTCCTTGGTAAGTGCTGCCACCTGTGATTTAACAATGTAACCAGTACATTAATATGAGTTTATCACAAGAATACCCCTGGTAGTATGCATGAAAGCAGTATGGCCATTGTTTTGACTAACGTGTAGTAGAGGTTGATGCAACCCCGTACTGCCTTAGTGCATACTTTGCAGTGTTCTTGTGATAACCCTATTATACATCCTTTTGGAGTTTGTACTAATGAATAAAGTATAATGGTCATAAATGGGAAATGTTTTGCACTATTTGAATGATTGTATTCTGTGAGAGGATTCTCTTTCCATCACACACAAAAGCACTTCTGCATCCAATGTAAACAAAGGAGAAAACAAAAGTGTTTGAAATGTGGTGTTGGTGTTTAAGCTTATCCCGTATAAACTGTATTTGCACATACAAATAGAACTTGACAACTGTTAAAGTTGTATTTCTGGAGCTTTATCAAGGTCTTTGGCTATTAGGTTACAAATATGATGGTCTGAATATTTGAAATTCGTCTGAAATGTTTAATGATGCAAGCTTGCTTTGCTCCAAATTATTGCAGTGCACATTAATATGGAAGAGATGTTTGTGAATCAGAAATTCACGCAGATATTTTATATATTAGTTCAAACCAACAAAGTATGAATAAGTGCAAGTTTTCAATACATTTTCAATGATAATTTAGAAAATAAAAACGAATTTAGCATTGTATAAACTGGTTTTACTGCCATTCCAATGAATATTTGAATGAAATTTGTTGATATAAAAATTGATAACACTTTATATTTAATGAGTAAAGTTAGACTGAGAAAAAAAATATCTGTTTCATGTTTCCATGCGCATCATTTTAAACTATGAGCCTCGGTCGTTTTTTTCTTCTAAAGCATTCCAAAATGTGCTTGTACTCGCACTTGTCTCAAATTTCCCCCATTTCAGCTCAGTATTAAAAAAAAAAATCGCCTCAATTTCCATGAAATGAGAAACAGAGAATTTTTTTTTCATGGCCTTATGAACATTTATGAAAGTTGTCAGTAAAAAGCTAAACAATTATAATAATGTTGTTAAAGCGTGGTGGTCGTCACGCAGCGTGTGTTCAAATTTCATGTAAATAAACAATGTATTTTACACGCGTTGTGTACGTCACTATGAGTCCCACATCGAACAAGACGCGGCACAACGACTGCCGCCCTTTGAGTAAGTCTGACTTCATATTGTCGAAAAATTAAATATGTCAGTAATCAACACAATTTTTAAGAAGACAACCTTGCAGTAAGGTGAAAATGACGGGTTATACATGTACAAGTATTATATAGGGTACAATACCTCATATCTTGACTGTTTTAATTCTGACAGCATTTCATCTTTTTGACCTGTGACCTCAGCAAGTTCTTTAAGTTTATTCTCCAGTTCATGCATCATTTTCTCTCTCTCCTCCTCCAAACCCAGCAGTCGTTTTTCACGTATCTTCAACTTTCTGCTTGTGTCATCTTTGGACTTCTTGAGTTCATCCATCTCTGTTTGTTTTTCTGACAGCATCGCTTCGATTCGGTCACGCTCAACTTTACAATCCTGGCTTGTTTTGTTGCTCATTTCTATCATCTGCGACATGTTAGCATTCTGTTCTCGCAATGCTGTCAGTTTCTTCTCTAGCTCTTCTAACTGAAACTGCAATTTTTCTTTGCCAGTCCTGATGTCACAAAGTTCAATATTACGCTCCTCAAAAAGTTTGAAATAATGATCTTTTTCTTCTTTGAGTCGCTCAATATCTTTTGATTTGCCTTCCACCACTGACGCCAAATTACTCTTTTCATTGATTACAGAATGCAGCTGATGTTTTGTTTGTTCGTGCACTTCACTCAAGTCTATTTTCTGTTTTTGCATATTTAATAGTTCTGTTTTGCATAGTTCAAATTCCAAAGCTGTCTTATCATATTTGTCATTCAATGATTTTAACTGTGTGGTGAGATCATCTATTTTTGTTGCTGTTTTGCTTCTCTCTTCTTTTTCAATTCTTGAAATCTAAGAAAAAGACAACAAAATAAGTGCTACTATGTACCAACGAAAATTAAAGTGATAACTAAATGATATATTAAATTGACGAATATCAAATGATTTTCCAAAATTAGTCTGAAGAAAATTTAATGTATTATCCTCTGTCTCTACATAATGAATGTTACTGTCATTGCCATATTGTTTTGAACACCAAAACAGCAACATTGTCACCTAAGTTGCTGAATGGTTTGTTATGTGCACCTGGAGATCAGTAGACGATTAGAACAAGTTGGGTCAAACCAACAAGAGATGCCAAACTATTAGTGGGTGACTCAGACATGTTTAATATATTAAACACAATACAATTTAATTTATTTCATTCAATCGTATAAATTTGTATATAATAAAAGGCAAACTTCTCTAAACAAAATGTGTGTACTAACCCCTTATGAAATGTTAGGACACAGTCTTATTTGTGTTTGGTATGTCATAACGCTTGTAAATTTTATGCATTTAGACAAACGGCTCACCATTGCGAAAATGATTTCAACTAACTAGTTCTAATCATGTATAGATCTTCAGACACACATTGCTAACAAGTCAGTAACTAAGCTGGCAATGTTGCTGTTTTGGTGTTCAAAACAATTTGGTCTGAAGGTTTCATCAACCCTACACTACATGTACAATGTACTTACATTTTCCTGTATTTGTGTTGCTGAATCTTTACTCAATGTTTCCATTAATCCTTGTAATCTTTTAATTTCTGTAATTTGTTCATCTCTCTCACGCTGCAGTACACTGTACTTTTTGTTACTCTCTTCTTCACGGCTCCAAAGTTTTTTGTTCTGTTCTCTCTCTGCATCAAGCTCTGCCTGACATTTTGTTAACTTTTGCTGGCAATAAATAAACAACGACAAGAAATTATTAATATAGTTACTGTGTACCGGTATATAATTTATTTATGGGTTCAGAAAATATAATTGTTTTACTTGCAACACACAACAAAGACTTGTTCAGGGTGTTTTCGTGATGCTTTGTAAAAAAAGATTTTCTTAGTATTATGTATGTTTGCAAAGTAAGCACAGTCTCCATAAGGCTTCAGAGTACAGACATGTGTATAGCAACCACCTAAGGGTACTGCACATGTAAATTGAATTGGAACTGCATAAAGGTGGTCACTATGGGCAGGTGGTCTTTACATAAAGGTGGTCACTATGGGCAGGTGGTCTTTATATAAAGGTGGTCACTATGGGCAGGTGGTCTTTACACAAAGGTGGTCACTATGGGCAGGTAGTCTTTATATAAAGGTGGTCACTATGGGCAGGTGGTCTTTATCAGAAGGTGGTCACTATGGGCAGGTGGCCTTTATATAAAGGTGGTCACTATGGGCAGGTGGTCTTTATATAAAGGTGGTCACTATGGGCAGGTGGTCTTTATCAGAAGGTGGTCACTATGGGCAGGTGGTCTTTATATAAAGGTGGTCACTATGGGCAGGTGGTCTTTATAT